ACTTCTTTGCTTCCTGCAAAGAACACATCCCCGAGGGCTGGTTTTTATCCCTTACAGGAGGGGACATCACCTTCCAGCCTTCCTCCTGAGTCACCCTTGCTGTTTCTGCTGCTCTTTCCTTCGAGCAGCCCTGCGCGCATGCACACTGGGCACAGGCTCCCCGGGTTCCTCTGTGTCACTGCTGCCAGATTCCACAAGCTCTGAAGGCAGCTCCCCACTCTCCTATAGTCCTGGCCCGATCCCTGCATCACGCACAGGCCCCTCGTCCGAGTCCTTGCTATCAGAGACCTCTGCCGTCCACACCTGCTGCTGGTGAACCACAACACTACCTGTTGATCCATCCATCCATTCCAATTCATCCCTCCTTCCATCTCTCCTTTGTCTGTGTACCTTCTCTCTCGTTTTACCTACCTACCTCTCTCCAATCTCTTACCTATCTATCCTATCAATCTATCAATCTCTTCTATATAAATCTATATATCATCTATTAATCCATCTATCCAACCATCCACCCACATACATACGCATCTATTTATACCTATTATCTATCCATTCCATAATCCGTCCATCCTTCCATCTGTTCATCCATTTCTCTATTACCTATCTAGCCATCCATCCAATCATCCTCCCTCCCTCCTTCCCTCCATCTAGCCATCCATCACCTATCTACATCCTTTCATCATCCATATATCTACCGTTTCCTCGAAAATACGACCTACCCTGAAAGTACTAGCTTGATTTTTACACATGCACTCAATATAAGCCCTACCCCCCAAAATAAGCCCTAATTAAGATCCTACCCACTCCAGAATGGACGGGTAAAAATTAAGCTAGGGTGGGGATGGGGAGTGGGTGGAGCTGCCCTACTACTTACCTTTGGACAGGTGTAGCCAGGCCTCGCACAGCCTTACACACTTGCCTTGCCAGCCCATTTCTTCTGCAGCTGGCAAGGCTTTCCTGAAGGCCTCTGGAGCTGATACCAAAGCTCTGAATCGATGCAGAGCTCGGTTATTGGCTGCAGAGGCCTTCAGGAAAGCCTTGCTGGCTGCAGAAGGAGTTCCAGGAGGAGGCCGGGGGCGACACACGCACAAGTGAGGTTAGTCAGTGGATGATGTCCCCCGAAAATAAGACTTGGTCCCATTTTTGGTGGCAAAAAAATATAAGACAGGGTCTTATTTTTGGGGAAAACACGATATGCACAACTGACTCCCTTATCAAATGTGGTGATTCACTTAACGGTGGCAAGAAAAACTGTCAAATGGGACAAACCTTTTTTGGCAACTGTCTTGCTCAGAGCGGCAGAAATTTGCGGCTCAATTGTGGTTGCTACATCAAGGATTAACTATGTTATGTTCAATTAGTGACCAGATGATTACCCTGCAGCCGGGTAAGATTTGTGCTGGAGGAAACAGGAGAAGTGAAAGTGCTGGCTGAGCCGAGACAATAACAACTCTTAAATACCCTGGAAACTGAACTGCTTGAATTGCCTGAGGATACATTGTTTCCCAAAGAAGATCGGAAAGCTGCGGTGAAAGCTGTTAAGGGGAAATATTTTTTTTCTTCACTCTCCCTCCCCATAGAAATAGCTGACGGAGATCTGGAAAATCTACTTGGGCACAGAAGGTAACTCAATTTGAAATTTAAAGCCAAGGTATAAAGGATTTCTGGACATTGGATTTAAAAAAAACTTAAAATTCTTTTTATTTTTTACAAGGGGAAGGGAAGAGATAAAGACTTATTATAAGATTGTACTGAAGGAGATTGCTTTGAGTCTATAAGAACAGGATTAAAAGACATTAAGACTTCTAGAAGATCATCTTGGAAGTGTGTATTTGAATTCTACCCCAGGAGGTGAAAATATAGAAAGAAGAAAGTGCTAAATGAAACTGTTTGTTCTGATTTGGTTTGCTTTGTGACTTTGTGATTTCTGTGAAATTTTGTTTTAAAAAAAAGGGACTAAAGACATTAGGGTTGCGTTAAAAAAGAAAGAAAGAAAAAATGGCATTATCTTTTGAAGGACTACAAATGGAATTTCAAAAACTGAAAAAAGAGGATAAGGGCTCTTCTGGATCTATCTTTCGCTTTTTGGAAATGGCGATTTCTACTTATCAAGAAATGCGACGACAGGAAGGCTGGGATGAAGGAGAAGAAGCCATCTTTAATGGACAAACACACTTAGTGGAAGAAGAAAAGCGGAAGGGGGGCAAGGAAAAGATGAACTTAGAACTTAAAAAAGCAACCAAGAAAAAGAAAAATGAGATGAAAAAGCGATATGATGTCAGAAAGCAACAGAAAAGAGAAATACAACAGAGAGGGAAGACTAAGAGAGTGAAATTGGAGAGACGGGGGGGTCAAAAAGTTAGAATGGAGAAGAAAGAAAGGGGAAAAGGAAAGAGAAGTCATAAAGGCTTTAAACAAGATGCAAAAAAATGAATTTTTTTCAGATATAAGGGGTGAGATAATTTAAAAAAAAATGATTCTGCAAAAGTACATAAGAATGCATTGTAGACATTAGTATTTGAAGCTGAGTTAGAAAATTAGAATATTATATGATTTAAAAATGTATTAAAGGGAAGTCATGATTTAATTATAGAGTTTAATTTCTTATGAAATATTATCTTTATTGTTTAAGAATTAATAATAGAATTTAATTTCCTATGAAACATTGTTTTTACTATATTATAAATTTAATATTTCTTTTTTATTTGTTTTTAGTTTTATTATTACTTATCAAACTCAATATTATTTGTTTGTTTTACTATTTTGAAATGTAATACTTTGAATGTACGGAGCAGAATCAGCACGGAAAATATGTATTATTTTAAGTATTATTTAGGGGGAAGATAAAAAGTTGTCATACTTCAATCTGGGTTTACAGGAGAAATATTGTATTAGATAGAAAGGATAAGTAGGTGATTGAAAGAAAACGGACCAAAGATGTAAATATAATTATTTAATTGAGATGGAATAAATAAAATAGAATTAAAAGAATGAGTAGGAGAGAGAAAATATATGGAAAATAGAGAATGTTAAATAAGATATGAGATAGTATATTAAGTGAGTATAAATTTTGATTGATGTCTGTATAAAAAGAGTTAACTCAGGGTAAGCCGCCTTCCAAAAAGAAGTTTTATGTATTTATGCTTTGTGTAATGTTTGTTTAAGTCTGACAGGATGTGGAAGAATACTAATGAAAATATATTCAATGAGTATACATTTTTAAGGCAGAAGAAATATTATTAAATAGAAGGAAAGGGAGAAATAAAGAAAAGTTTTGAAAAGATATGAAGTTGATTAGATAAGATAAATATATATATAGAAGTGTGATAATCTGGAATTATCTTCTTTTTAAATAAGATGGTTTATTTGTTTCTTCTAGAAAAGATATTTTATGTTACTACATCCTATGTTTTGTTTGTGTGTTTAAAAAAAAAAAAGATTTCGGAATTTATAACAAACTTCAGCACTTAGATAAAATTTTATTAGGATCAAACAAAAAAAACATAACTAAATTTTACAAATACTTACTGGAAGTAGAACTAGAACAAGAGATAGTCAAAGGAAATATGATAGCTTGGAGCAGGAATGTCGGACGGAGTATTACATTAACAGAATGGGAAAGGATTTGGAACAGAAACAAGATCACAAAATCGGCAGCTTATAAAGAAAATGCATACAAAATGTTTTACAGATGGCACCTTCCCCCTTCGAGGTTGGCGAAGATGCACCCCAACACGAGTCCAAAATATTGGAAATGTAAAAGTATAGACGGAACCTTTTTCCATATGTGGTGGTCATGTAAGGAAACTCAGAAATACTGGCAAAGAGTTAGAAAATGGCTAGAGGAGATAACCAAAGAACAAATTGAATATAAATCAGAGTCCTTCCTATTAGGGATTTTTGACAAACAGTTACCAAAAAAAATGAAGTATATAATAATACATATCTTAACAGCGGCCAGGTCAGCGTTTGCTCAGTGCTGGAAACTACCTCACATACCTACAGAACAGATGATCATCCAGAAAATTTCAGATTGTGCAGAAATGGACAAACTAACCCTAGCCCTAATAAACAAAGAGTCTTCAATATATTATAACAACTGGAATTCCTGGTATAAATGGTTAGACCAAAGATAGATCGTGTATTATAAGATATAAAAAAAAAGAATGGGATAAACTTATTTGAGTGTAATCCAAATATAGATATGGATAATGTTCTGTACAGTCATTAACATACTTGTAAACGCCGCGCGGTGATTGGTCAAGACGCACGGCGAGCTGATTGGCCGAGCGAGCCGCACTGATTGGCCCGCCGCGAATCTCCCGCGATTGGTGGAAACTAATCGCGGGAGATTCAAAGTGATGCCATTGGCCGCGGCCAAGGAATAAAAGCCGCCGCTTTTCCTTTTGAGCCGAGCCGATCTCGGGAACTAATAAAAGAGCTGAAATCAAGTCACTGGCTCCGAGTCTCTCTTCCGCGGCAGACATAACACTGGCGACGAGGATGGGATACCAAGCCTGATCCCCCTCGAACACGTGTCCAGAGGAAACGAGACTGACGAGATGGCCAGCATCGCACCGCCTGCGCCCTTCAACCCAGCTACTGAGGATTGGGAATCGTACACCGACCGATTCCTGATGTTCCTCGAAAGTAGCAACCTAAAGGACGCAAACGGGCAGAAGAAAAGAGCCGTCTTTCTAACACACTGCGGGCCCGCGGTGTTTAAGATGGCAAAAGCCCTCGCGAAACCCGAGGACATAAAGACAATGGACTGGGCCGATCTCGAGCCGTTGCTCCAGAACCACTATGCCCCCGCCGTGCCCACCCTCATCAGGCGGCACGACTTCTACCGGCGAGACCAGAGAGCGGGCGAGAGCATCAGCGATTTCGTGGCTGACCTACGAAATCTCGGGGGCATGTGTGGGTTTACGGACATGGACGAGGCTCTCCGAGACCGCGTCGTCCTGGGGCTCAGGGATCCGGTCCTACAAAGCCGACTGATGGCAAAAGGCGACATTGCCCTCGCCGATGTCCTCGCAGACGCCACTGCAGCCGAAGCGACCCGGAAATCGGCGGCACGAATGCGGAGACCAGACGCCGGAGACCGCACCGAAACCACCGAGGCAGGCACGGCAACCGAGACACGCTCCGAAGCAAGCCGCCGAGAGACCTCCACACACCATGGCGACCTCGACTCCGTTTCCGACACCACGGACGAGGAAGAGGACATCCATCGACTCCAGACGGAACGAGAACGGCGCGATCACCGGAGTCGTAAGTCGGGACCCCAATGCGCCGGGTGCGGAGGCGACCACCCTCGATCGGAGTGCCGATTTTTCGATGCGATATGCCGGCACTGCGATAAAAGAGGCCACATCGCCAGAGTCTGCCGACTTAAGAAAAACTACAGCCCCCGGCGACGAGACAACAGCAACCGGAGACGAGACGGCACCCCCCCAGGCCCAGGGACCGCCAAGCCGAAAATCGTTGGAGCCAAGATGGACGGGGCCGCCGAAACGGCGAGAACCGTCAGAGAGAGGAAACCTACCAGACGGTCGTCATCGGCCATTCGTCCAGCGCAGATGCCCGGAAGGTATATGTGGAAGTGGGCATCGAGGGCGAGCCATGCAAGATGGAGGTGGACTCCGGGTCCTACCTCTCCATGGTTGCATGGCGGGAAATCAAGCGCCTGGTGCCCAAAATCCAAAGAAGGGGACTGGAAAGCCAGAAACTAATCCTCAAGGACTACCAAGGAAATCACATCCCGGTAGTCAGAACAGGACAGTTCGAGATAACATTCAAGGGGCGCACAGCAAGGCTCCCACTGATGATCGTGGACCGAGACCGCCCCAGCCTTTTAGGACTGCAATGGTTCGCGCCACTCGGAATCGAAGTGACGAGCATCGATCACATCGGGGAGGCCAATTGGGAGGAGCAACTCGCAAGGGACTTCCAGGAAGTGTTCGACGGCACCCTAGGCAAGTACCGAGGGCCCCCTATTTCCTTCAGCCTAGACCCCAGCGTTCCCCCAATACGCCTAAAACCACGGCGGGTACCTTTCGCACTCCGGCCCAAGATCGATGAGCAAATAGACAAGCTCATCAGACAAGGGGTCCTCGAACAAATTGACCACGCCCGGTGGGAGACCCCCATAGTCACCCCAGTCAAGCCCGATGGGTCAGTGAGAATCTGCGGGGACTATAAGGCCACCCTCAACTGCGCTTTACAACAGAGCGCCTACCCCATCCCAGTAGTGCAACACCTCCTACACTCACTGGGGGGAGGCAAGGTTTTTGCAAAACTCGACCTGGCGCAAGCCTATCAACAACTGCCGGTCGACGCAGAAACCGCCGAGGCGCAAACCATAGTAACCCACCGGGGGGCTTTCCGCTGTAAGAGACTCCAGTTTGGAGTCAGCGTGGCCCCAGGAATATTCCAGAGCCTCATGGAGAGACTCTTGCAAGGAATCAAGGGGGTGGTGCCCTACTTCGACGACGTACTTGTGTCGGCAGCCAACCAAAAAGAACTGGAGGTTCGCCTGAGGGAGGTCCTAACGAAATTCAAAAATGCGGGGCTGAAGGTCAAAAAGGAAAAATGCCAATTACATACCGAGAGGGTCGAATTCCTGGGGTACCTTTTAGATCGGCACGGAATTCACCCAACCGAGAAAAAAATCAGAGCAATCAAGGAAGCCCCCAGGCCGAAGAATAAAACGGAACTACAGGCGTTTCTAGGGCTGCTTAATTTTTATAATGTTTTCCTGCCCCAGAAGGAGACCGCGGCGGAGCCTTTGCATAGGCTTTTGGACAAGGCGGCCCCGTGGACTTGGGGGAAATGCGAGGAAGCCGCCTTCAACAAAACCAAGGACCTACTCACCTCGGATGCCGTCCTCATCCAATACAACGAGACCCTACCGCTAGCAGTCACATGCGACGCATCACCCTTCGGCGTCGGCGCCGTCCTCAGCCACACTCTTGCCGACGGAAAAGAAGCACCCATCGCCTTTTTTTCAAGGACCCTCACCAAACCGGAAAGGAACTACAGCCAGCTGGACAAAGAGGCCCTGGCTATCGTTGCCGCCGTCAAAAGATTCCATGAATACATCTACGGCCGGACGTTCACCATTGTCACCGACCACAAGCCGCTGCTGGGAATCCTGGCAGGAAACAGGGCCACCCCGAACATTCTATCTCCAAGAATGACAAGGTGGTCCGAATTCCTTGCCGCCTACAGCTACCGGCTCACACACTGACCCGGTAAGACAATCACCCACGCAAACACCCTGAGCCGCACACCACTACCTGACGTGGACACCGACCCAGCACCCACGACGGCCACCCTTAGCATAGAGACTCTGCCCGATCTACCCGTAACCGCGTCAGACATTGCCCGCGAAACTAATAAAGATAAATGTCTGGCGCGAGTGTTACATTGGGTAGAGAAGGGGTGGCCCGAAAAAGACGACGACGAAACATTCAGGACATTCCGGAACCGGCAAACAGAACTGTCATTACAAAAGGGTTGTCTACTTTGTGGGGATAGGGTTGTCATTCCGGAAAAATTACAGGGAAAGGTATTGGAATTGTTACATGAAGGGCACCCAGGCATCGTTAGGACAAAAGCCTTGGCCAGAAGTTACGCCTGGTGGCCAGGGATGGACAAACAAATCGAGGCTTGGGTGGCAGCATGCAACCGATGCCAGGAAACCAGGCCCAGCTTTTTGCTTTTTTCTGGTTTTGTTATTTGTGTATATGTTGTAGATTTGTTTTTTTAATTGTAAAATTAATAAAATTTGTTTTAAAAAAAAAAAGAAACATTGTTCCGGAGCACTGTGGGTAATAAACACAAAATACCAACTCTTATTCATATATGCAGATTTTTTAAAAACAAATGAGGAATATTCATTAAATTGTTCCCAAATCAAATAAATCTTTTTTCCCAGCAAAAGAGCAGCTGGAAGAATTTTGAGAGTTCCCGAAAAACAGATTTCCATGGCAAATTGTTTATTCATGCCTGGCACCAAGAACTTCACGTGGAACCTAAGAGCTGGAAGGAACCTACAGGTCATCTAGTCCAACCCCAGCCCTTGTACAGGACTCCACCACTGTTTCTCTACCCGATGCATCAGTAGTTGTTCGTTTAATGATCCCATAATTCCTTGCATTGAGGTGGAGTTAGGGCAACTGAATGGAGCTGCATGTTTACTGGCCGGATGCCCTTCCCTGTCGCCAATGTGGAGTTTTGTTCAGCAGATATATTCTCATTGTGCCCATAGAGAGAAATATCAGCCTCTACCTAGGATTGAACTCACAGCCTCCTGATTGTGAGGTGAGAGCTTCACCTCTAGGCTACCGCCCCACTCTACCCGATGCATCAGTGAAGCTTTGAAATCTGCCGACGGCCGTTGACTCAAGACGGTTTGATGCCTTGTTTATCCACCATTGCCCCTTTAAGACGTGCAGACTTCGACTCCCAGAATTCCATATCAGCTGGGGAATTCTGGGAGTCGAAGTCCACACAGCTTTGGACTCAAGAAGCACTTCCTAAAAGGGACAAATCGAGGAGATGGACTGTCTAGTATTCCCAGTCTCAATGGCCCTTTTGCAATCAGGATCCCCCCCTTCAATGGCAATGGGACCTGTCATGCCTCTGTTGGAATCTGATTTGGAGGGGGAGGCCGAGCAGCTGACAGGGAGTGGGAGTGTGGCTCCGTTGGCTGTGGAAGAAACTAGGGAAGGGCACAGACTGGCTGGGCAGAGCAGGGGAGAGGTAGAGCAAGACGGGGAATTTGGAGGAAGATCCAGGCCCACCCCCTCTTCATCCTAGGGCATGCAGGGAGGAACGGAAAAGGGAGCAATGTGAGTTGTGTGGCTTACAGGGGAGGAAAGGGCCCTGATTCCCTCCATTAGCTGCAGCTGGGAACACAGTGTTTGAAAAGGAAAGCTACACACAGCAACTTGTTGGAAGCAAACTGTGAGTTATCTGTTCGTGTCGAGGCTTATCTGGGTTCCTGGAGTCTTCCCAAATGTGTGTTTTGCTGGGCTTTCAAGTCTGCAATTCCTTCTCCTGCCTTGTCAAGTTAATGACTGCAGTGTGGTTTGTGTGGATTTTTATTTACAGTTTGTATGTACTTTGTTTTCGGACTGAATTTCCTCCACTTAAAGACTGTTCTTCAGAGATTTTTTTCTCCATCAGAAGGTAATCTGGAAATTGGGGGCAAAGTTGGAGGTATTAAAGGGACTCTTCTTACTTATGTGACTGTGTTGCCTTTGTGCCATGTCCCGGGTCATCACAGGACCCATGAACCATAGCAGCGATAGGCTCAGGAGTACCCTGGTTGCAGACGTGCTGATGGCCTGGAGGCTCCCAACTCTTGACAGACCTGGTTAAGGGTTGCAACTCAGGACAGAACCTGGGTTTTACATCGCTGCAGCTCCTCACTCTGTGTAGGGGTCATCAGATGCTGGACATAAACCAGATTAAGATGGATGTAGAACTCCCGGGGTTGCAGTCCACGACCGGGCCTTGAGCTGTTCAAAATCAGGCCGAGTGTGCGTGGGCGAGTGTACGCGCAATCCCCACTTGCAAGAGCAGTGGCTGAATGCATGCACACGCCCTCGTGCGAGTGGTGTGTGTGCCCGCCACTCAGGCAAATGGAGCCATGCATGTACACTTACTCACCACTTGTACGGGGGGAGAATCGTGGATCTCAGTGGCCGCAGGTACCAACAGCTGTTGATCATCCTGAAATCCTTAGTCCAATGATAGCGAACATAACATGTGTGTCGACGGTGACATGCCGTGACATTTTGGGTGACACACTAGAGTTCACCAAGACCTACAACAACACCTGTAGGTCACCCTTGACTTACAACATTTCATTTAATGACTGTTCAAAATTCAATGGCACTGGAAGAAGGGACTTACGACCGTTTTTCGCATTTACGACCATTGCAGCATCTCCATGGTCACGGGATCAAAATTCAGACGCTTGGCAACTGACTCATATTTATGACCGTTGCTGTGTCCCGGGGTCACGTGATCCCCTTTTGCGACCTTCTGACCAGCAAAGTCAATGGGGGAGCCAGATTCACTTAACAACCTTGTGACTTAACCACTGCAAGGATTAACTTAACGGCGGGAAAAGTCGTTAAATGGGGCAAACCAAATTCACATCATAAATGTCTTGCTTAGCAACAGAAACATTGGGCTCAATTGTGGTCATAAGACAAGGACTGCCCTCCATAGATCAGCAGTGTTCTTCCATTTCTCTGTGTATAGGTCCTCTTGGCTTTACGACCCCAGTTTGAAGCAGAATTCCCATTGCTAAGCAAGGCGGTCTGAGTAACTTAAGAGCAACAAGGATTCACTTAACAATGGGGAAAAGATGTCATAAAATGGAACAAAACTCACTTCGCAAATGAATTGGAATGCGTAACAATCAAAATGTTGGGCTCTATTGCGGTCATATGTCGACAACAACCCGGAACACAAATTTTAGACACTGTGTGTGTGTGTGTGTGTGTGTGTGTGTGTGTGTGTGTGAGGAGGGAGTAATCCTTACCCAGCAACGCCACCAGCACGTAAGTTTCCACCATCACAGCTTGGTAAGGGTCCTGCTGCCAGTCGGTAAGGTGCACCCACTCGGCGGCCATAAAGTACACGACGACGTCCTCAAAAGTCACCTACAGAAGAAGTGACAGGATGCAGCGCAGTAAAACGTCCGCCTTCGAACGAGATTTGTGCATCTCACAAAGCGGGGCCGCACCCCGGATTCTACCCCCTCCTGCTTTCGAGAACACTAACACCTCAGGATGACACAACCGAAGGGACTTGGTGAGCAGTGGATTGGCGTTGCGACCAAACGGCACACAATTTCAAATCACGGCAGCGTACCACGACCACAGCACGGAAAAGATCGGTGGACGCATGTGGACATGGAAAGGAGGCAACGCCGTCGGTCCAAACCTTGCTGAGTTTCTTCCAAATTTGGGAAAATTGATTTATTATGATTATTACAGGTTTTCCTCAACTTATAATGGTTCATTTAGTGACCATTCAAAGTTACAATGGTGCAGAAAAAAATGACATTCGGACCGTTTTTTCAAACTTAAAGACCGTGGTAGCATTCCCAAGTGATGAAATTCAGACGGTCAGCAACGGCCTCACCTTTACAATTTAAATAAAACATCTTTTTTGAAAGTAGCGTAATCCTGGGTTACATTTCTTCGTACAGACACAAATTCAGGTTCATGCTCATTTTTATATTCTATTCCCTATCATATTACTATTTTACATTTTCTGCATAGCTTCTCCCCTCTTTTAATATTCTCAATTTTATTTTAATTATCTCATCTCAATTCAAATCATTGTATTTATATTTTTTGTCTGCCCTGTTTCAATTATCTATTATCTTTTCTCATTAAACAAAATTTCTCCTGTAGTTACTGATTGGAGTATGACGCCTTTATATCTTTTCCCTAAAGTTGTAACATTCAATATAATACATAACTTCCATTCGGATTCTGCTTGGTACATTCTTAAAATACACACTGTATTCTTTAAAAAAGAAAAAAATTATAAATGTATAATATAATCAAAACAACATTCCATTCCAATTTAATTCTATCATTAATATTAATATTCATTAAAGTCTTAACATCTTTAACATTTACTTTTCAATTAAATATCATACTTCTATGGGAACAATTATAAGCTTTCCATAGTTAATTCCCCCCCTCTTCACTTATATTTTATAAAACTAACTAATTAAAATGTTCCCGTTCCTTCCTAATTCAATTTTCTCATTTATTTTATTTCACTTATTTTATTCACAAACATTTTACTAAATTACACTATTTTATCCCTCATTTTAATCATACGTTGTTTCCAATTTTCTAAAGTTATTTCTATTATTAATATAACAATACAATCTTATGTACCTTTACAGAATCCCCTTTTCAGTTAGATTTTCACCCATTATCTCTAAATAGGTCCTGTTTCTCTATATCTTGCTCCAGTCCTTTGTAACTTCTTTTCCTTTCCTTCTTCCCTCTCTTATTCTCTCTCCCCTTTTTACCCCCTTGTCTCTCTACCTCTATTTCTCTCTTCTGTATTCCCCTTTTCTGTTGCTTTCCAGTATTATACTTATTTTTCAAATTATTTTTCTTTTCTTTGGTTGTTTTTTTAAGTCTTAAATTCTCCATTCTCTTTCCCTCCACTTTCCTTTTTCTTCCCCACATAGAATTACTTGTTCATTAAAGGTGGCTTCTTCTTTGTCCCAATCTTCTTGTTCTGCAGTCTTTTCTTGTTGTTTCTCATAGTTCCAAATCTCCATTTCTAAGAATTGAAAAACAAAGTCAAAAGAACCTTTCCCTTCTTTGTACTTTTTAAGTTCCATTTTCAATTCATGCAGAAGTGGTGCCATTGTATAAAATTTTAAACAACCACCCGATTGATTTTAGTCATTCAAATATAATAACCAAGAATCCAAAGATCACCAAATAATCCAAATACACGCAATGTTATGTCCCACCTTCAAAAGCAAATAAGCAACGCCGAAAGCAGTCGTCCTCAAAAGCAAAACAAACGAAGAGGAGTTTCAGAAGATAACAGCTGCTATTATTCACAGTCTACAGCACATTAATCCTGGCTTAAATCCACAAGCCTCCGAGCTTTGACCGTTGCTTCTCCACGTAAATTAAACACTTTGTTCCTGACAAATTTTCAAACTCAGGCGGATCCTTTTATAGTTATTAGGGCAACAGTTAATTTCCTTAATTACTGACTTAACCTTCTCCTGCGTTCCAGCTGGCCTTGCCTCTTAAAGCGGCGTCTATTCCTAACATCTAACCAACAATTCTCCAAGTTCTCGTCTCCACTTGAAGACTCTCTTAAAACTTCTCTGTCAGCCATTCCCGGCTGATGATCAGATACTGAACCAGAGGAGGTCGAAGGTCCTGACCATTCTACTAAATCAGGTCTGTCCTCTCTTGTCATGTCCATCTCCTCTTCCTGATTATCATTCCAATCACTGAGCCATGCTGGCTCATATTTCTCTGCCATGTCCTCCTCACTTGAGCTCATATCAGCCACAGGAGCTGAATCCAAGTCCGGAGCCACAACAACGCAAGCTGTTTCTTTTTTGCTCTTTTTTTCACTTTCTCTTCCTGGGGTTACTATTTAGTTGCAAAGTTTCAGTTAAAATGTATCTTTTAGAAGTCTTGTTGAAGTTTTACTGTAGATTCTTTTTAATTCCAGGCAGTCTCCTCCCTCTTCCAGATCCTGCCCTTATTCTTTTTCTCTCCCTTCCTGCTTATGAAAAAGAAAGTTTTTAATGTCCAGAAATCTTTATTATCCCTTTGGCATTTTGTTTTATTTTCAGCTTAATTGCCTATTGATGTCAAAGTGGATTTTTCCGATTTCTTATTTAAGTCTCTTAGTTGTCAGTATAGGGAAGGAGAGAGAAGAAAAAAAACCCCAAACCTTTCCCTTTTCACTTTCCTTCGCTGCTTCCGACTTTTCTTTGGGAGCGATGTTATTTTTTGTAAGTTTAAATTCCAGGGTACCTTAGTTGTTGCTTTTACAATTTAACCCGGTCAGCCAAAACTTTCACTTCTTATCTTCCTCCTGCACATTCTTTTCCGGTCGAGTTATCCTTTGTGGTGGCCATTTCTGACCACCGCTGCAACCGCCTTTGGGAAAGGGAGTAATGGCCAGCTGAGGAGGAGAGATGTGGCTCTCCTCAACCCTGCTGGCGGTCTCCCCCCTCTTCACCACCTCTACGGGGTGGCTTAGCCCCGAAACCAGCCGGCTCGGGGTGCTCCAGCGGCGAGCCCAGACAGAAACCGCGCACGATCACGGATTTCTGTCTGTCGCCGAAGCCCTTCAAACCGGAAGTCCCAGCAGTCCTGAGTTTCAGGACTTCTTGTTTGGCTCTCCTACTTTAGAGTAATAGTTGTCCTTCCCCAACACGATTCTATTTGTCACATTTTTGTTTTGTTTCAGAAGTCAGTTCTGATGAAAAGGATTCTGGCGTTCATTCCAAGAAGAGGTCACACCATGGGAGTCCAAAACTTCTCAGGATGTTCTCGGATTCTTCTGACCAAGGAGACTCTGGAGCTGGAAATCACAGTGATGAGTCTAAAAGTGATGAGTCTAAAAGTGATGAGGAAACTAAAAAGAGCAAAAGAAAACCATCCCTTCAGGAGGCAAGAGGGGAGAGAGGATGAGGCAGGAAATCACCCAAGGGCCAGGGGATCACGGGCTCGCAGAAAAGGAGAGTGAGTGAATCTGAGGAGACCACCACCAACATGGGACAGAGTGACGTTGAAGAAGAGGTCAAAGAACACAGGAAAGTCACAAAAGGGAACAGCTTGAAGCAAAGAGACTTCAAGAAAAAGGTGGACAAAGGGTCTAAAGATAATGACCCCAAAGGCAAAGCAAAAAACAGGACAATGAATAAGCAAAGAGATGAAAAGCACCTATCAGAGGGAGGAACTGATCTGTCGGCAGTAGAAGAAATCTCTGAAAAGAAAAGAGAATGGAATGAAAGTGAGAGTGAGAGTGAAGAGAAGTCATCATTCAGTACTAATAAAGCACAGCAGAGGATGGGGCCCAGAATCCAGAAGGGTTTGAAGGGGAACAAGAGTGAAGATGCCTCAGGAAGTGCTCCTGATAAAAAATTAAATTTGCAGAAGAAGATGGCAGACAGGCAATGCAGAAGAAAGAGTAGAGCTATAGAGGATTCGGGGAGCAGTTCTGAGGATTCTGCAGGTGAAAGTCCAATGAGGAAGGAGGGAGCAAAGAAGGCCAGGGGAGAAAGAGGTAGCCAGCAGACTGGAAATCACTCCAAACCCAAGAGGCAGCCTAAAGAGAGAGAGGGGAGGAAGAAGATGCAGAGGGAAGACCTGTGCAGGAAGAAACCAGGGGAAGTGAAGATGATGATGCAAAGGATTCAGGAGTCCACCAGTGAAGAATCTGAAAGTAAGTCAGAGGAGTATAAGAGCTCAGAAGAGAAGAAGTGGGTGCAGGATCCTACTAGCAGTGAAGGGGAATTGCAAAGCGAGACAAATCAAGGGCAGCCTAGGAAGGCAGCTCTAATAAGTCCCCCATCAGAAAGTGAGTCCGATGAAGATCTGAGGAGGACACTGGAAAAGGAGAGCAAGCATGTCTCTGGGTGTGACTTAAGTCAAGAAGAGAAGTTGAAGAGAGGAGCTCAGAAGTCACAGAGAAAGAACATCGGTAAAAAAGTCTCTGTGCTTGGTTCTGAGGATTCAGGAAGTGAGTTTGGGGGAAAGAAAAAAATCCAAAGCCAGCAGCAGAGAAGAATGAAAAAGCTCCAAAGGAGGAGTGCTACCAAGGAAAAACAGAGGGAAGAATCCAGCCAGGAAGAGGGCTCCAACACAGAAGAGGACAAGCCCACTACTTCTCAGCAGCACGATTGTGGAAAGGTAAGGGATATCCACACAGGGACTTCAAAAAATATGATTTTTCTTACAGGTAGTCCTTGACTTATGGCCATTCATTTAGTAACCATTTGAAATTACAGAGACACTGAAAAAAGTGACATAACCTGTCCTCGCACTTATAACCGTCACAGCTTCCCCACAGTCATGTGAACAGAATAGGGGGACTTGGCAACCGGTATGTGTTTACAATAGTTGCAGCATCCTGGGGTCATCTGATTGCCGTTTGCAACTTTCCGAGGGGATTTTCAACAAGCAAGTCAATGAGGTAAGCCAGATTCACTTAACAACCGTGTAATTCACATAACAACTGAAGTAATTCACAAAGCATTGGCAGAAAAGGTCATAAAATCGGGTACAATTCACTTAACAACTGCCATGCATAGCAATGGAAATTCTGGTCCCAGTTGTGGTTTTAAGTCAAGGATTATCCGTACAGGTAGTCCTCAACTTACAACAGTTCATTTAGTGACTGTTCGAAGTTAATGATGTCAGGATTCCAGCGATCACCCTAATTAAGCCTTGAGCCAAACTTCAAAAAACTTCAAAGAATTCATTAGGCACAACATACTGGCATGACCTGTATGAAGCCAATTCTGGCATATGTAATTACAGTCACCTGTGACCCTGCTTCCCCCCTCCCCCCTGGGTGTGCCATAAATCAGTTTCTCCAATTAAGCAAGTACATGGGCTAGGTGTCATCCATCATGTTCTCCAATTTAAGTTTTTTGCAGGCAAAAGCTTCAGTGCTTAGCTACAATCTTTTTAAAGATAATGTTGGAATGTGCTTCTAAGTTCATTTGCCGTATGCTTCTCCAGTCTTTCCTCCCCCCCACTTTCTTATGGCAACTTGGAAACAAATGTAGGCTCCCCTCACTTCTTTTTTTTTTTAATTAGAGTTTTATTTGGGTTTTCACAAAACATACAAATAAAATATCTTTTTTTGAGAACAGCATGCTCCCGGGTTATCACTTCTCCATACAGACATAAACTCAATTACATATTCATCTTATATATTCTAATCCATATCTTATAACTATTTTCACAGTTTTCTCAATAGTTTTTCCCTTTCCTTGCTTTCTGTAACCTTATTTTTAATTATCTCATTCCTTTCTAAGTTCAATTACATATCTTTTACTAATTTTCAGTATCTTTCTAATCAATATTTTTATACTTTTGTCTGTCCTGTTTGCAATTTCATATTTTCTTTTCTCATAGAACAAATTTTCCCCTGTAATTACTAGACTGGAGTGTAACAGCTTTGTATCTTTTAATTATTATCCATTCAAATCTTATTTAAAGTTTAAATTATGCCTTTACAGTTATAACACTCATTTTCTAACCTCTATTTTATAACACATAACTTATCAACCGGATTCTGCTTGGTACATTTCCTTAAAAATACACACTAAGTTCTTGAAAAAAAATGTGTGTATGTATATATGTGTGTGTGTGTGTGTGTGTGTGTGTGTATGTACAGTATAACAATAGTAAATGAAATGATTATTCAAGTTCAGCTCAACCATTAATATTGATAGCAATCTTTTACATTTCTATTTAGAACATTTCCATCTTTTCAGAAACATTTGATTACCTAATATCAGTTGTCATTCACTTTAATCACCTATATTTCATATTTTACTCATAACTGTCTTTAAACAAAAAAAACAATAGTTAACAGTAGTCAATAAAATTATTATTCTTATTCAAATTCATCCTATCAACTGATATTAATTTCATTAAAAATCTTTCATGTTTCTTTTCAATTATATACTTTTTTAAAATTCATTGAGAGCCTTATTCTCTTACCCCCCTTTTTTCATTTATTTACTAACAAATATTTCATTACACATCAATGCTTATTTTATCTGTCACTTTAATTATCGTATTTTCTAACTCTTTTCTATTTCTAGTATAACAATGCTATCTCATGTACCCTTGCAGAATCCTTTCTTTAAGTTAATTTTTTAACCATTGTCTCTGTGTTTTTCAAATAGGCTTATACCTTTAATTCTTGTACGCTTTTCCTGTTTCTCTATATCTTGTTTCTGTCCTTTATAACTTCTTTTCCTTTCCATCTTCCCCCGCTTCTTCTCCCTCCCCTTTTTGTTCCCTTTTCTATCTGATTCTCCCTTCTGTGGTCCTCCCTTCTGCTTCTTCCTGATGTTATAATTACTTTTCAAATTACTCTTTTTTTTGGTTGTTGCTTCAAATCTTAAGTTTTTAACTCCCTTTCCCCCCTTTCCCTGGCTTAAAATTGCTTGGTCATTAAAGATGGCTTCTTCTTTGTCCCGCCCTTCTTGTTCTGCAAGCATTTCTTGTTGTTTTTCATAGTTCAAGATCTCCATTTCTAAAAATTGAAATACAAAACCAAAAGATCCTCTTCTCTCTTGTGCCTCTTCTTTTTGTTCTTTAAGTCTCATTTTTAGCTCTTCAAGGAGTGATGTCATTTTAAAGATTTTTAAACAACCCCCAATTGATTTTATTTCATTTCATTAGGATCCACCATCCAAAATTCCAGGAATCACCCAATAATCCAAAGCTGTTTCTTGCTTCTTTTCTCACTTTCTCTTTCCAGGGGCTTTGTTATCTTGTAACAAAGTTTCAGCTACAATGTGTCCTTTACAAGTCTTGTTAAAATTCCACTATCGATTATTTTTACTTCCAGGTGGTCTCCATTTTTCCAGATTCCACCCTCTTTTTTTTTCCTCCTCTGCTTTCTTTTTAAAAAATTTTAAATTACCCAAGAATCTTTATCCCTTTGACACTTTGTTTTCAGTTAAAAATAGCCTGTTAATGTCAAAGTGGATTAATATCAATTTCTTGTTCAAATCTCTTCTTCTTAACATTCCAAGTCAATTAAAACTGTCAATATGAGAGAAAAAAACCCAATTCTTGTTTCTTTCCCTTTCGCTTTCACCGCTTTAAAAATATTTTTTAGGAATGGTATTAGTTTTTGTAATTCAAGTTCCAGGTACCTTAAATAGATGTTTTCTCCGTTTAACCCGGTCAGTCAAACTTCAGTCCAGTCGGGTTCTTCTTTGACGTGGCCATTTCTGACCACCGCTGCAACTGCCTTTGGGAAAGGGAGTAATGGCCAGCCGAGGAGGAGAGATGCGGCTCTCCTCAACCCCGCTGGCGGTCTCCCCCTTCTTCACCACCTCTACGGGGTGCCTTCAGCCCTGAATCCAAGCGGCTCGGGGTGCTCCAGCAGTGAGAACGGATCAAAACCGCGCACGATCGCGGATTTCGGTCCGTCACCGAAGAAGCCCAAACCGGAAGTCCGGCTCCCCTCACTTCTTGAAAGCAACCTGTGCAGAGCAAAATCAAGTTGAGTGCAGGTATATAATTTAGGGTTGCGACCCCCCCCCCCCCCAGGCTTGGTTGGATTTTCTGCATGGAATCTGGCTATAAGGCAATCGGCCTGGACATTCCTACTGTTTGCCCAAGATGCCTCTGATGAGGGGTAGTCTTTCCACTTGATTAAGTATTGGAGTTGTCTCCTGTGCCACCTCAAATCGAGGATTCGCTGCACCTCATAATGGGTTTGGCCTCCTATGACCACAGGGTCTGGGGGCTCACGAGGTAGAGGTCTCAGGGTCGATCCGACCACAGGTTTTAAGAGGCTACTATGGAATATCCGGTGCATCTTCCCTAGCAATCAATTTCAATTGCACCGTGACTGGGTTGATGATCTTTACTATGGGGAATGGTCCCATGAACTTTGGCCCCAATTTCTTGCTAGGGAGTCTTAACCTCAGATATTTGGTGGAGAGATAGACCTTCTCCAACTGGAATGGCCGTTGCGGGGCTTGGTGTTTATCTGCCTGTTTCTTATAAGTCTGTGCCGCTTTAGCCAGCACTTCTTTAACATTCTCCCAAGTTGCTTTCAGCGTTGACATCCAATCACTCAGACTGACTGATGAGGGGGGATCCCTTGGATATTCAGCCATTGGGACGAAGTCCATACCGCTCACTACTCTGAAAGGGGTTAGTCCCATGCTGCTGTGAACAGCATTATTGTATGCAACCTCTGTGAAAGGCAGGAGGTCCACCCAATTGGACTGCTGATAATTCACATAGCACCTCAGGTATTGCTCCACCATGGCATTCAGTCTCTCTGCCCCCTCCCCCCCCATTGGTGCTTGGATGAAGGGCCGAGCTAAGACCCTGGGATGACCCAATAGACCGCAGGAACTCCCTCCAGAACTTAGCCGTGAACTGGACCCTTCTGTCTGAACTAATTCTTTGTGGTACTCCATGCAGGCAGTAGATGTGCTTCAGGAACAGCTTGGCTAACTGGTGAGGTGAGGGTAGTCCGCTGCAAGGTATGAAATGTGCCTGTTTGGAGAATAAGTCTATTACAGTCCAGATCACCATGTTCCCCCTACTTTTCGGTAACTCCACTATGAAGTCCATTGCAATCTCCTCCCATGGCGTTGTTGGCTCTGCTACCGTTTGTAGCAGTCTGGGGCGGTTTCCTGGTCGTTTTTTCATTGCGCAGATGGTGCAACTCTTCACATTGCCTCCGTGTTAAGTGTAAAGTCTTTAAGAACCCGAAGTGGCCTGCTGGCTTAGCGTCGTGGCTCCTCTGGAGGACTAGGGTGCGTAGGGATTCTAGGATGTAGAGTTTTGTCCCCTTCCACACCATGTCATCTCTTTTTGACTGAAACACAACTCACAGTACAAGAAGTCTGGGCAATCTGTTTGCACTAAAGGCCATGTTAGCTAGGTCATTTCTCTTCAAGCCATTCACACACTTTCTGATATCCCCTTAACCAAGTTATGCAAACTGGTCCTTACTTCTGGGAGGAAAAAAAAACTCCCATACCAAACTTGGCACAGCACCCCTCAACCTGGGCCCTGTCAGATGTCCAGTTCCAGAATTCTAAGGAAGTTTGCTGAATGGCTGTTTTCTAGTAGGGAATCCTGGGAAATGCAGTCACAGCCCATCTACAGGTTTCCCCACTGAGTTTGCTTGTCAGACAATCGTAAAAGGTGATAACATGACCCTGGGACACTGCAACTCATAAATACATGCCAGTTGCCAAGCGTCCAAATTTTGATCACGTGACCATGGTGATGTGCAATGGTCATAAGTGAATAATGGTCATAAGTAACTTTTTTCAGTACCTTTGTAACTTCAGCCACAATACAAATCATCGTAAGTCAAGGACTTCGTCTACAGCAGTGTTTTGCAACCTTGGCAATTTTAAGGGTGGACCTAGAATTCCCCAGCTAGTTGAAGTCCATTCATCTTAAAGCTACCAAAGTTGCAAAACATTGCAGTACTGATTTAAAAAATAAAGATTGCCTTTTTCTAATCTATTCAAGATTATTCATGGAAAGCTTATTGTGAGCTAGGTTGTTAACCCATCTCCTCCTCTGTTGTAGGATAAGAAGCATCATTCTGGAAAGAATGAGGAACATCCCTCCATCCAACGTATGAAACACTACATCCGGGAATGTGGTGTGCGTCGGAATTACAAAAAGCTCCTGGCAGGTTGCCACTCTCGCAAAGCTCAGATAGAGGTTCTCAAAGAAGAGCTGGGAAGTCTTGGCATAAAAGGTTAGTTAATGACAGTTGATGTAAAGCATAGCCAGGCACCAGGTTAGAAACTGGGAGACGATGAGTTTTAGTCCCATCTTAGACATGAAAGCCAGCCAGGTGACTTCCGACCAATCACCAGAACACAGTGGGTTCTAGTCCCGCCTTAGGGATAAAAGCTGGTTCGGTGACTGGGCCAATCACCAGGAGATAATGGGTTCTAGTCCTGCTTTAGGGATAAAAGCCAGCTTGGTGACTTTAAGCCAGTCACTGACTCTCAGCCAGCTCACCGAACAGGGTTATTGGGGGGTGCGGGGGAGTAGGAGGATAAAGGAGTGTTAGGTATGTTTGCTGCCTTGAATTATTTGTAGAAATAGTAAAGGTGGGATAAAATAAATAATTCAACAGATATTGTTAGGCTGAGCTATGTGAATCTCTTTGTGGGGAGCTGTGTAAGAAAAGGTACTAGAATATGGCTAAGATAGCGTTTCTTTTAATCTTGGCTTCTGAAATAGGCTACAGCTCACTCAGTTGCCATGGCACACTAAGCCATAAATGCATAAACAGAAACCTTGCTGGCTGACTAACAAAATAGACAGTTGTTATCAAAAAAATTATATTTGTGCTAAGGCAATCTGGGTTTGAATCCAAATATAAAATTTTCAAATCACACGTTAGAGCGGCCCAACTGATTTTCAGTACAAGTAGTCCTCAACTTACAATAATTCACTTAGCAACTATTCGAAGTTACAATGGGACTGAAAATGTAGTCCTCATACTTACAACCGTTGCAGCCTCCCCATGGTCACATAATCAAAATTTGCCTGCTTGCCAACTGGTATGTATGATGATTGCAGCACTCTAGGATCATGTAATGGCCATCTGTGACCTTCCCAGTCAGCCTCCAACAAGCAGTGAGGTTCCTGGCTTCACTTATATAGTTTTTTTATACATTTTCAATTAACATACATAAGTGCTTTGTGAACAGTGTATTGTCTGGGTCAATTGCTTACATAATAATGTTTTCCCAGCTCCTAATTTCTACTTCCATTATCCAACCATTTATAAAACAAACCCCATATTTGAAAGTATTCTGTATCTTCCTTCTCTTTTATCTTTAATGTCAGTCTATCCATTTCTGCACAATCTAATATTTTTTAAATTACATCTTGGTGTTTCCTCATCTTTCCAATACTGTGCAAATACAATTCTTCCTGCCATCAGAACATGCAATATTAAATACAAATTCCCTTTATTATATTTTTCTGGTACTATACCTAACAAAAATATTTCTGGCTTATAATCTATATGCAGCTTTAACATTTTTTCTAACCATGTATGTATTTTTATCCAATAATTCTTTGCTTTCACACATGTCCACCATGTGATAGTATGTGCCTGGTGTCTGATTACATTTCCAGCATTTGGTGAACAAGTTTTAAAACAACTTTGCTAATCTTGCCGGTGGTAAGTGCCACCTATAAAACATTTTACATAGGTTTTCCTTATAAGTAGTTGCCACTGTCAACTTACAGTTTCTCTCCCAGAGTTTTTGCCAATTGTCTAAATCTATAGTATATCCAAAAAAATTTGCCCAATGCTATCATTGTCTCTTTTACCTGTTCATCTTCCATTTTTAATCTTAATAAAAAGTTACATAGTTTCTTTTTTTTTTAAACAAGTTTTATTAATTTTCAAAACACACAAGTCATCATTACCCATTACATATTTAAACCTTTTTCCATTATAAATTTAACAAGTCAGATGAACTATAATTCTGTTTTAAACCATTTCCATATAAACATACAAAAACCTCTTATCCATTTTCTCTTTATTTCTCTTTACTCTTATTCCATTTTATTATTATTATTTCATCTATTTCTTTCTGACTTAGTTACCATTATTCTCATTCTATATTTCTGCAAGGTTTCATTAATTCTCCCCCCCAAAAAAAAACATATATACACAACACACAAAACATAAAAAAAAAATCTTTTTGGAAAGTAACTTGGACCCAGGTATCTCTTTCTTCATGGACTTCAACTGTATTCATGCTCGTATTACATATCATTACTTATTTTATTTACCATTCTAAGTCTTCTATATTAACTTCTCCCCATATTTCACTCTTTTTAATTCTATCTTAATTAATCATCTTAATTTGAGTCATTATATTTGTATCTTTTGTCCATTCTTTATTGTACCTTTGTCTCATTCCTTATAAAAAAAAAAAAGAAATTTCTCCTGAAATCACTAATCAGAGTATGATGCCTTTCTATCTCCCCACTAAATTAATCAAATTAATCTTTAAAATAACACCCAATACCCAATCCGATTTTGCTTGGTACATTCTAACTGAATAATACATCCAGAATAATTAAATACATAGTTAAACAATAAATCTAAATATTAAAAACAAATACTATAATAAAAATTTTATAATAACATCAATACCATAATCTTATTAAACTCTTTAATTAAAGCTCAATATTCTAAATCTCCCCTCATATTATTAAATTTTAAAACCAATCATTATTAACATTTCAACATTTTAATCTCTTATCAACTCTTAAGCCATTTAAGTTTTCTATTTCTAATACAATACTACAATATCATCTTATGTACCTTGCAAAATCTCTTTGCAGAAATTATACTTATCCTTTATCCCTAAAAAAGATTCCTTTTTTCCCATTTAATTTCAAAACTTTGTGGCTTTTCTCCACCTTTTCCCTTTCTTTCTTCTCCCAACAAACCTTTCTACCCCCCCTTCTTCTAGCCTCTGCCTTACTGGCTTCCCTTCTCTGTCGTATTCCTCTTCCCTTTTGTTTATCATCATTATATTGATTTTGCACCTTATTTTTCCCTTTCTTAAATGTTTTTTTAAATCTTAAGTCCTTTATTTCTCTTCCTTTCCCTCTTCCTTCCCTCTTGGTCGAGTTCTGAGATTTATTAAAGATGGCTTCCTCTCCTTCTTCTTCTTCTGCTGTCTTCATCTGTTGCAATGTTTGTTGATAGTTAATGAGCGCCATTTCCAAAAAAAGGCAGGCTTCTTTCAAACCAGCTTTACCATTTTTTTTTTGCTTGCTCATAGTCCCTTCTCAGTTCCTCAATAGAAGGAGCCATTATAAATCTTTTCTTTTCTTTTCTCTTACAACAACCAAAATATTCCAAAGGAAAAATAAAACAATCCCAAAATTATCAATCAGTCCAAACCAAGACAGAGTTCCCACTCTCTCCTCCTAGGGTAGTATCAATCAGAAAAAAAGAAAGTCCAAATCTATTTCTTAAAATCTTATTGCAATATATTTTAGTCTTTCAATCCTTAAGGCATCTCCTCCAACAAAGTCTTAGCATACAAATATTTTTTTTTTAGTCTTCTCTTTTCCCACTCATCGCTTAGAGCCAGTTTTTACCTAAAAAAAAATAGGTTTCTTAATATTCACTTTTTATTCCGTAGAAAAAGAGGGTAAGCTATCCTTTCAGCACCATCAAACTGCCGCTTTTTTCCTCTTCTCGAAGGTATCATTCAGAAAGTCATACTTTTCAGGAATTTTGTTAAATATGTCTTAGAGTCCCAAAAACGGCTAGCGCGGCAGGGATCGCGCAGCTTCGCAAATCCCTGCCGCTCGTGAAGCCGACAAACCGGAAGTCCCAAAAAGTTACATAGTTTCTTTATTAGCTTTTCATCTGTTCCTAACATTATTTGATCCAATGTTGTTTGTTCTTTGTAAAAGCCATATGCCTTAACATCTTTCTCATATCTCGATTGTATTTGCATATGTGGCCACCATGATAAGTCCACACCTTGATTTTGTAACTCTTGTTTAGTTTTAAGTTCCCCTTCTGTATACAAAATGTCTTTATATGTTATTTTTTTTCCAATATTCATTACATTTGAATGTGTGAATGCTTCCATAGTTGAGAGCCAAACTGGTAATTTTATATAAGTTTTTGTTTTCACCTTTTCCCATACTAAAAGTAGAGCATTTCTTATGTAATGTCTTTGGAAGTATTTATGAGTTTTATTTTTATCGTACCATAAAAAAGCATGCCATCCTAAGTGGAGATCATGTCCTTCCAGCAACAATAGTCTTCTGTGTCTGAGAGTTATCCATTCTCTCACCCAAGTTAAAATGGAAGCTTGAAGGTTCCTGGATTCACTTAATGACCATATGATTCCCTTAACAACCATGGCAAGAAAGGTAATAAAATTGGGCATAATACACTTAACAACTTTCTTGCATAGAAGCAGAAATTCTGGTATCACTTGTTGTATATTGTGGACTACTTGTACTTATTTTCAGGATCAATAAATCAACTGCTAATATTAGAGGCAGTTTTATGGAAAGCCCCCTATACAGGCAGTCCTCCACTAAGGACCACAATTGAGCCCAAAATTTCTGTTGTTAAGTGAGACATTTGTTACGCTTTGCCCCATTGTATTACCTTTCTTGCCACAGTTGTTAAGTGAATCACTGCAGTTGATAAGTTAACAACCCAGTTGTTAAGTGAACCTGGTTTCCCCATTGACTTTGCTTGTCAGAAGGTTGCAAAAGGTGATCACATGATCCAGGACACTGCAATCATCATAAATATGAACCAGTTGCCATTCATCTGATTTTTGATCATGTGACTATGGGGATGACGCCATGGTTGTGTGAAAAATGGTCATAACGCTGTTTTTTTTCTCAAGGTTTAACTTTCTCCATATATCAATCAAATTTAACTCCCTCATCATTTCCATACATGTTTTTGGAAGCTCTCTTTTCCCCCCCCCCTGTTCCTCCCCTCAATACTGTGGTTTTTTTTGATAATCAGCAATTTCCTCTAAGTAACTATCTTATCAAACCCTTTTATTTTTTCAATATTCTTAATCATACACAACCATGTAGTAGCCAAACAGTAAGTCAATTAGATGTTCAAGATGATCCACCCAGTAAATGCAACTATTAATATATAAACATTAATTATAATCAGTGACTAAATGGTACTTAAAGTTATTATTTCCTTTATCTTTTCTATGTATATAACTGGTAAAATATAATTATCAATATTACTAATAAATCAATTAAATCAAACAGATTGCATCACAATTGCAGTAAACAATTTCCATCTGCCTCGTGTATATGTATGTATGTGTGTGTGTGTGTGTGTGTGTGTGTGTGTGT